CGTATGGTTTCTCTTTAACTGGAGAAACAAGGGCTTGCTTGTAGGTGCCATGTTAAAGAACTTAAATAATGAGTGTATGTAAAATAGATAGAGAAAAAGAAACACTGTAACAACGTTAAACAACTGGTTTTGAGTCAAAGAAAATTCGTAGAATGCAACAAAAGACTATTGTAGAAGTTAAATGAAACTGAGGTCAGTTTCTTCTTTTGTTAGTGGAGGGAAATGTTGTACTCAACGAGGACTCACTCCTCCTGTTCGTCTCTTTGTATCTTCTGTGTGTAAGTGAATGCTTCTCTAATGGTGTATAATTCGATCTTGTTGACAGTCACGTTGGTGAGAAGTAAGTTGATCTCTCATTGATCAACCAGTGATGTAAAAGGTTAAAAATTAATATTTGAGCCTACTCTAACTTATGAACGGATTAAGTTGAAGCGATGAAAAATATATGAATAAAGAACTTTAAATCAGGTCGTAGCAATGAATCTCGTTGAATTGGTCAAACATGAGTAGTTCTGACTAAGAACTTGGTGTCTCAGAACACGGTTCAAGTGATAACAAGGTTAAACTTTGCAAAAATCTAAGTAATTTATATTGTTGTTTTAAGTTAAATTAAATCCTTTTTGTTAACTGAATCAGTCTTTCAAACCAACTACAGTCAATATTCCCAAAATGAGACTTCGTGGGATTAGCACTTTTGACTATTTTGGCACAAACTTGCCTGACAATAGCTTTGTTTACGTTTTTGTATGAAAGGTCGAGTAAACAAGAATCTTATTGATTGAAATTTTCATAATTTGAGTTAACTTATCTTCATTGAGTTCGAAACATCAAAACATTCATCAAAACTGAATTGTCGACTGATCTGTTGACGAGACGACAGATATTCTTGGCCGTTGTGTGATAATTTTTGTTATTGGTTCGTTATTGTTGACTAAAATTGGCCAATCATTCTGCCTCAAGTTTACAGACCATTATGATAATACTGTTATTACTCAAACAGTGTTTGACTCATTGAAAATACTTTGGCCTGATGGAATGTAATACGAAAAAGTTCAGTTATTTTTGACAGATGGAGCAACTTATATGTCTTCAGCCGCATAAAATTCAAAATTATGTTTCAACAAATTAATATATGTTACTTTTTTTGCTCATGGAGTTAATAGAGTTTGTGAATTTATAAGATCTGAGTATCAATTAGTTGATAAGCTTGTGTCGAAAGGTAAATAAGTATTCCTGAAAGCTCCTCATCGACGTACTTTATGCAAGACGATTCAAATTGCTCCCGGTTTACCTTTACCTCCTGAATCATGTATAACAATATGGAGAACATGGCTATCAGATTGTATTTATTATAATAATCATATTAATATTTTCAAGTCTGTTGTTTCACAGTTGAACCCAGAATATGCTCACTCTATTTATGATTTACAGCAACTTCTTGAAGATCCTGACTTAAATAGACAACTATTCAAAATTGTTGATAGTTATTCATTTCTGGTTGACTATCTGCGTGATTTTCAATCTTCTTCTCTTCAACTTGCCAATGCCATTCAATATTATCTAGAGATTGACTCTCTATTACTGAGGAATAATAGTCAAAAAGCTAAAAGTACTAAACACTGATTTCAACAAAATTGTTCAGATTTCTGATTCTTTGAACCGAACAAGTGCATACTTAATTTACGTCAATAGGACGTTTTATTGTTTTACAGTATCTTTTTATATTGTCGTTATTGAAGTTAACTTACTGACAATTATATTACACAATACTTTTTTTGGAATAAAATCGGAACGCTTTATTGGATTTTCATTAAACTTGGCATAGCTACATAACTTTCAAAAGGAGTCAGGCGACCAAGTTTTCAAAGTTTCAAAGACGCCCTCTCGCGGTGATGACGTGAGTAATCTGGTTTCAAAAGCAGCAAGTCTTTTCTCACAATGATTCTTGCAGTCTTGCGGCTCAACATAACCATTTGCCCCAATTTATGCATAGATGTTGATGGTCCTTCGTCTAAAATCATTTATTGGATCTTTTCCAGAGTCCCGACTGTTCAGTCGCGCCCTTTCATTTCAGTATCATCGTGCACTGAGCCTTTTCTTGCGAATTTAGCAACTAAATCGGTCAAAGTTTAAATCGCTGGCTTTGGATTATTTAAAAGCACTTTACCACTGGAAACTTGAACTCTCAAAATGGTTGTAAACCATTTCCTTTATGCCAAAAAAACTTCCTGTAAAAAGTGATGCACTTGCGCCATCTACAGGTTGTAACAGCCAAATAGCCGGTTTTGAATGGTTTATAACTCGACTATTTATTGTGTGAATTGAAAAATTTTTCTTTTCAACATGTAGTAAAATGTCCCGAGTTTTGTCTGATAAAATTTTTGAATTAACAATTCACCGCTAGGGGGCGTAATATTGTTCCAAAGTTAGTTCCAATTTTATCAGGAATATTCAAATTCGAAAATTTTTTTGAATATTTATTCTACAAAAAATTCAATATCGGCTGATACGTAGAAAATGATAGTCACATTTTCCAATCGGAAGATATGACGTCTCAAAGAAGTCACAAACTGTGAAATCCGGTGTCCTAGGAGCCCATTCAGGATCCCAACCTAATGCTATTACTCGATCTCCAATAATTAAATAAATTGATTATTTCGATCGTAGAAATCTAAAGCCCAAGCCTGAAGACATAAGACTTTTTGCAATTCAACTTTTTTTATTTTTGCTGAATCAAAGTCGAGAAGCATATTATTTTGCAAACTTTGAAAGACGATCTAGAAAATTTTTTGAGTCGAATGGGTTGCCGTTAAAAAAATACAAATGCTGTGAATGTTTACGATAGAAACTTTCAAATGAAATTAGAAAGGAAATGGGATGAAATGGCAAGTTCTATTGATAAACGTAACGTGAAAAAATAGGCCATTCTTGGAAACTAAAAGTGTACAGAAAGTTCGTGTGAGGGGAAAAAATAATTTATCTTGCACATGGAACCCATTTTCTATTGTGATGGTTGACATTACTGATTACATTTTACCCAACCCCTCACACGAACTTTCTGTGCACCTTGTAGATCCTCTATCAATTAAAACACAATCAAATAAGAAGTTATTCAATATAAATGGAATAACTTGAAATGTTTTTTTGTAGACAAGAGTAGCAACGGAGATATAAGCAATGTTGCTGCATTTTTGAGTAATATGATTTATCCCATGTGAAGAAAATTTGACTTACTTCATGTAAGTTCTTAACTGAACTAACTTTTTATTTTTTCTATCTTTACATTTATTCATTTACAATTACCCTTATCGATCGTAGATTTACTTGGATCGATAAGGGTGTAAACTTTCAAGATGCATCTTGGTAATTAAGGTAAAACTTAAGGGCGTGTTACATGTACCAGTCACCACTATGAACAGCCACTATTCAGTGGCAATAATAATGGGTATTCCTGAAATGTCAATCTGTTGTGTGCGGTTCGTTTCTAATTTTTAAAGATGAATG